TTTTAAACCCCGACATTTTGCTAACGCACTTGAAGATCTATATTAAGAAACTGATACTTACTTTCACAATGCACTCTCACACTGAGATGGTACCGTTAAATAACCTGGGGCGGTGTATTTGTCCTTGAAACTTTCCAAAAATTCTTGCATTCTTTCACCCCCACCCTAGAACATTGTGTTCGCATAACGGGACGAAATAATGCAGAGCTCGGTTCACACTAGTGCGAAAATAGTGTTAAACTCACCATGTGAAACAAAAGTGAATGAATATTAAACAACATATAAACTTAAAAAAAAAAGCCCCGGTTAAGCCGCAAACCGGTTAATCCGCCCCCGGATAATCGAGAGTTGACTGTATATATATGAGAAAATGAAAAGGTTACACTTTCTTACAGAGTCTAGTGAGCACACTCAAGCTCAGAAGTCAAAAAGTCCTTGAAAATCTAACAGCCAGACAAGTAATTTGGCTGCCAGAGAAAGGTGGGTAAGTATATTCTGGTGCCATGCTGTGGCTGTCATCTCATCTCAGCTCAGCACATTCCTTCCTGTTGTACAGTTTGTACTGAATAGCCACAGACCAATAATAAGACAATGGCAAAAAATAAATCAAATGTAAAAGACAAATTGTTGTATCTTATCACATTTGTAGAATATAGTATCTTTGAATATTGTCCACAATTTTCTTGTTGCTGTAAATAATTGAATGAGATTACCAGAACTGCAAAACATTGAGTGAGATTACTAGAACTCCAAAACATCAACTCTTAAACGCTGAGAAGGAAGTTAGCCACTAGTCTGCTGCTGGTTGCTTTGGATTACTTTCAATTTCTGACAATAGAGGCAGTATAGTCCTCCAAAACATATAATGTGAAGTGGGACAATTAATTACCTGTTCACAGAATTCAAGAAAGTGTTTGGTTCAGGTAAGAGAGAAATACTTACAGTGTTCTCGCTGAATTCAATATAACCATAAAACCAGTTGAATTAATTAAAATGTGTTGAAATGAACTCCAGTGAAGTCCATACAGGAAGGTTAAAGTAAGTAAGAGGAATTGGTACCGAATGGGCAATGTAGCATGCAGTTCCAGGTTGAAAGAAATGCACGCAATTATGATGTGAGGGCATTCTTGTCATTTATGTATTAATTTCACATTTTAAATTCGGAATTATATTATAAAACAGATCACAGAAATTGTAGTCATAAAAGAGGTTGGCATTTCCACCTCGAACAGAGATATCAAATGATAAGGAATGTAAGTTCTTTTATTTTAATTGTAAGTAAAACATTTAATAAAAATACTACCAAAATTTTCATTTCTAGTGTTCTCATGAACACAATATTCAATTATTGATATGGAATTATTGTTCTTATAAAAAAACAACACTAAAAGCGGATTTTTTATTAGTTTGTATGTCTTGTTGCCTGTTTTTTGACACGATCATCTTTAAAAGAAGTTCCATGGCACTGCCCCAGACCACTTTTTTTCTCAGCTACAGCACTAGGAACACAAGACTTCAGGTCTTTGCTGAAGATATTACTTTAATGGACAGAAATATAAATACCATAAAACTTTGATAAAATGCCTTAATGTTGATATAATATGTTGATGTGTGCTAATCAGACAAAATCATAATATAGAGACAACTAATAAATTCTTTGGAAACATGGCAAAGTTTAATTACCTCAGTAAAGGTATCCCTGTAACAGGCCATGGAGGCCCATAAGATTGTGAGATGTTGAGCTTCCCTCATTTTCTAGACAATCGGCTCATAGATAGCAGCAAGGTTGTCAGCCCTACATGCCAGCTGCCCTTTACCCCTGAAGAATATTCCAAGAATTTTCCTGGTACTCATTTCTGTTACAGGCTGAGTCAAACCCAGGGCCATAGTGCAGCTGGAAGGATTAGGTCAATTGAAAAAAGTCCAATTACTTCATCAGGACTTGAACTCATGACCTTCCGGCTTGTAGCATAGTGCCTCAACCAACTACGCTACTGCGTGCCACCTTAATTACCTCAGTAACAAGTCAAAGCTACATTTATGAAGAAATTAAAGACAGATTAACTGTGGGGTATGGATCCCACAAACCACAGTCGCTCATCAAAACTACATACTTACTTACTTACTCATGGAGCTGAGCCCTTCTGGAGGAGCCGCCAATTTTGCAGCTACTCAAGAATTTCCCAGCATTTTATGGAACCCAAAGGTTCATCACCGTGTTCACAAGAGCCCTCCACTGGTCCCTATCCTGAGCCGGATATATCCAAATCAAAACTACATTCATGAAGATATTAAGGACATGAGGTATGGTTCCTACAACCCAGTTTAGAGGGTTAAGTAGTAGTAGTAGTAGTAGTAGTAGTACCTTTATCTCTGGGACCACGGTTTCAAACATAGCGCCCATATAAAGACCTTCTGTCTTATTTTATCTCTTACGTACTATCCGTGCCCGTATCAGAACAAAAATCCGTGCACCGCATTTCTGCCGGTATGGGCTGGCTGAAGTATTCGTGTAGGGTTCAGAAAGTTAGGTTGCTACGGGACTGAAGCTGTAAGGGACTGGGAAATTTTAAATGATTAGCTGTGCAATTAAAGTGTCATAAGATCAACGAAACATTCGAATATAGGAAATAAAAGAAATTACGTGTAACTTCACCATGTTTGTAGGAATTTTTTATTTACAATCTTGGCAATAATTGAGCATCTTCTGCTGTCAGAAAGGTGCGAGCTTTTTGTTTATGGATTATTGCTTTGATTGTGGTTGTGTTGTTTCGTGTTGAAGAACCGTGTTATTTATCAATATGGTACATAATCCTCAATCCATGAAGTGGTGTTAGAGACAAGATGAACTAATAGATCTATTGAATTCCTTTAATCGAAGGTAACGAGAGTAACATATCAAATTATATTAAGACGGCTTGGAATTTGTAGCCATTTTCAGGCACCTCGTTACCGGTGTAAAGTATTAGCGTGAAATTTATCGGTGCATTTTGTTAGGGATAATTTAAAACAAATGCAGGAAACATCAGTAAATCAGAAAAGTTTGTAGATCGTTTTCTCCACTTCCCATTGTCTGTTTAGCAAACAGATATATTTAACTGTGCTGAATCCAACAACAAAGAGAGGTCATTAACATGATTCAGAAGGGGATCGGAGAAACGTTTTGATACCCTTTACCTAATGTGACAGTTCAAATTTTTTTATCTGTTCGTGATGTATTAAATATGTGTTATATGAATGAAGTCATCATTGTGTTTCTTTCATCTCATGTATATGTTATTTATATAATGAAATGCCTTCTGAGTGTTTAATGATGTATAGTGGGCACAGCCTCAATCAATGAACACATTTCTAAGGTTATCAAAGAGCCTTACATACACATTATGATTCAGTGGTTCATTTTCCCCAAAACTGAATGAAGTCCACATTGAATATAAGTGTTAAGGCATAATTCGATTTATTATGCTGTAGATTTTGCTGACATTTCTCACTGTGGACTTATATGATTTCCTTTGTGCATGGCCAAGGAATGCTGGGCCTGGAGTTGATTGAGTTTTACAGAGCGGACTTCATTTCTTATAATTGAAAAACTTATTAATCAGTGTTACAGTTTTCTTTTATTTTTGCAACAAACTTTCATACTAAACATTGTAGCACAGTTTCCCCACTTCATGTGTGAAGTCATCCTATCCGCGTTTCTTGTTGGTTTCAACACCTCTTCTTGCAATGCTGGTTTAGCACCCTTCAGTGACCCTTCCTCTCCAGATTTTCCTTTCATAGTTATCTCATGATCTGACTTTGCCATTGTAATTGGTACAACGTTATTAACCTGTAATTGCTATGCAGTAGAAAATTGCCTCAAATGTGAGATGAAATAACAGATGTTACAATCGTGGCTATAAAATCAGCTGACCAAGCTAATAGTTTGTATAATGTTTTATCACTCATTGTTGTCTCCTTGGGAGACTGAGATAGAAATCTTCACAAAATCCTTCATGTTGTAACAGTATTTAAGAAGATACTGAAGGGTTTGAAGTACAGTTCTTTCTTTCAGGATGTATTGTTTGAACAGAGCTCTTGAAAAGGGTCCTTACAATTAGTGGAATGAGAATTTTATTCATGCATGTACTGCCTCACCAAGACATATATTCTAAAATTATGATTCCTCATTTCTATCTGGTGTATGTGATGTGATATGATTAACATATTTCTAGCTGCTGAGTCTGTTGCTTTGAAACTATTCCAAAACATCCCATGAGTTAGCAGCTTCCCTGTAACTGAACTAACCAACAGTGTGATACAGTATCATGACTACAACTACTACATTTTATGGTTGGATTATCTTGCAGATCTGAAAAATAGAAGCTGGAAGTGGAACGTGGAGGAATGACAAGCCCTTCACCCCAGTCTTCACCTATGCCCCCTCCCCAGACTCCTCCAATGGGACCTCCCCAGCAGTCCCCTTCACCCATGCCGTCTCCATCAGGCATGCCACCACCGCCTCAGGCACCAACTACTATGGGCCCTCCACAACATCATCCACACAGTCCAACAGGCTACACCCAAGGCCCATCTCCAGGAGTGATGCATATGAATGGACCATCAGGGCCACCGCAGCATGCCATGACTTCAGGCACACAAACGTTCCAGCAGCATACCATGGGCATGGGCCACCCTCAGCCTGGACCTCAGGTAAGGATACTGTATTCAGGTAGCTTGCCAAGTGTGACACCAACAACCCTGTGCCAGTAAATTAATTTTTTGTTGCTCATATGAAGGTTGTGTTTTCTTAATTTGTATTCCTCACTGACAAGCTGATATATTATTTAAGTGGTGAAAGAGTTAATTACTTACTTATGTACGGAGCTGAGACCTTGAGGAGAAGCAAAAATCTGTAACTACTCAAGAATTTCCCAGCATTTTATGGAACCCGAAGGTTCATTACCGTGTTCAGAAGAGCCCTCCACTGGTCCCTATCCTGAGCCAGATCAATCAAATCCATACCATCCCATCCTGTCTCTGTAAGATCCATTTTAATATTTGATTTGTTTCATTCTGGTCCATCACACTAACAATATTACAAATGATAAAACAATTCCGTCCAGTGTGACTGTTGAAGCTTTTGCTACTTCACTTCTTAGCACCCTAACATGTTTCGGTCCCTATAGACTGTCATCGGAGGGAGTGAAAGGACAAGGGACACAAACCTATTTGGTTAAAGAATTTTAACTTAAATAACAAAAAGTTTTTAAAAAAACTTTAATGCACCAAGGACAGTTGCTGTAGTTGTAAGAAATTTGGATTTTGTATAAAGTGTATATTACAAATATTGTATATTTATGTATTTTAAAAATCAAAACACCCAATGTAATAGTAGTTTCTAAAAGTATTGATGTTCCCTCAGATGATGGCCTATAGGGACTGAAACATGTTAGGGTGCTAAGAAGTGAAGTAGTAAAAGCTTCAACAGACACTAGACAGAATTGTTTTATCATTTGTAACATTTTAATATTGTCCACCCACCTGCCCCTTGGTCTTCCCAGTGGTCTCTTTCCTTCTGGCTTTCCCACCAATATCATATATGCATTCCTCTTCTCCCCCATTCGTGATACATACCCTGCCCACCTCATCCTCCTTGACTTGATAATTCTAATTATACTTAGAGAAGAGTTCGAAAGAGTTAATTAGTCAAAGAAAAGCAAGTCTGTCAGTGGTTGGTTGTTGCATTAATTATTTTGTATCACAAGATGTACTGTGCTGAAAACACTTTTGTGCTCTATATAAAAAGGAATTGACCTGCCCATGTCAGTGAATTTCAAAGTTATTGCAGTTTGAAGTTTGAAATTTTCCTTAAGTTTTTCCAGCACTTTGATTCATTAAAATGCTTAAAACTCTGGTCCTAATTAAGGTAGAGAGCTTATTCTTATACTGATTGATTTCTTAGCTTTCAATTGGTACAGGAATGGCTTCTTATCTAATTAAGACCAGCATTATAAGCATTTCAGTGAATCAGATGACAGGTCCAAGACCCATATAACACATAATGCACCTGTGTGAACAGCAAGTTCAGGCCTCACAAACATAAGTTGACAACAAGTGTTTGGAAAGTTACAGCTGCGGGGGTAGGCTTACTGTTCTCCGGTTTGCCGATATTAGTCAAGTAACTCAGCCAGAAGGCTTGACACGTTCTTGTAAATAAATACATGTTCTTCATGGTAGCCATGATATTTCTATTTTCACTGTAACATTTGCATAAAAGGTAAAGTTGTCCCTGTGCTCAAGTAATTAAGCACTACTCCATGAAGAAGCATGGGGTAGTGGATGTATAGCTTCACCATTCTTGACCTCGGCACTAGTTGGAGGTGAGTGGTCAGTTTCACGCCGCGGCCGCTTTACTCTTAGGGAAAAGTCCCCCATACCGATTGTATAGGAGGCTGTTTGGGCCTCAGAATCGGTCTGGAAGTCGTGGAGAGGAGAAAAATCTTACTCCTACCAGGACTCGAACTCCGTTAGGAATGAAGGTCACAGTTTTCCTATAGAATTTCATAAAACTGGCCTTTTTGTTGAAATCTGTTGTGGGACACAAACACACACACACACACACGAACATGGATGTGATAACATACACAGACTTCTTTCATGTCCTTATATGTTTATGACACAAATTTTTTGAATCGGTTGCATATCTGAACTTAATATACATGTTAATTTTAATGTTAAATGGTCATAACACATCATATTACATTGTAGATGGACAGAATTTTAGGATGGGGTGTAATAAGGTAAAGCTATCCCAGTAACAGGCCGTGGGGGTCTATGAGACTTCTAGGTTCCCACATTTTCTAGACAGTTGGCTCACTGATGGTGGTAAGGTTATCAGCATTACACACCAGCCACCATTTACCCTTCAGGAATATTCCTGGTACTTATTTGTGTTAGAGGTCGAGTGGAACCCAGGCCCATAGTGTGGCTGGAAGGATGAGGTCAACTGAAAAATTCAGTGGCCTAGGAGGGAATTGTACCAGCGACCTTCTGGCCTCAACCAACTACGCTATCGTGTGCCCTCATTGGATGTAATATATGTTTAAAAATATCAACTGAAATTTGTAACACTGATTTTTAGAACGGAGTATGTCTCGCTCCACATTTTTATTTTGGTTTTGGAACTCTTATCTATGTGGAACTATGAATTTTGTAGTTAAATGGCATCCATTCCTCTTCCCAGGTCTTTATCGAAGAAAGCTTGCCCTAGACTTCATATTTTCAGTTGTGGCAGTAACACGCTATTTTCTCTCTCTCTCTCTCTGTAATACGTATACTCATCATATCTATAGCGTAAAGTGGACAGTTTGGAATATTATGTACTTTAATAAAAGTGGGTTTGCCTCTTTTGAGAAGAAATACCTTTGTACTTTTAACGTCCTGTCATCACCAACACAATATGGTGACTGCATTGGAAATGATTGTAGCTTATATAAAATATTCATTCTACCTGCACAGTATAAGAACAATGATCAGTTCTCTCTACTGATCACGGGGTGCTTAACATATGTTCACCAGGAACTTAGCTACTGAAATACATTTTAAGAAATATAACAAATAGAGTTTCTTGCAGTTATGTTATTGATTATTCCACTGAATTTTGACTGGCGCTTTTCTGGTTTTATTTATTGAATATAGTACAAAGCTTGCAAACTTCACTGATTTGCCTTGATTCAGGTGGTAGTCATGTCTTTGTCTTATTTCAGGATTCTGAAAAAAGAAAATCTTCAGAGACTATAGGGTCACATCCCAGAAAATAGTAGACCTCCTCTTCAAATACCCTGAATTTTGTAACTTGAATGACAACTCAGACAACTTGAGAAGAATGAAGTCAAGGCCTCAAAATCTGTACCTAGATAGGATTCTATGGAGTAGCTTCTGTGAGAACTTAGTGTGTACAGTAACAGCTGTCATTTCATAGACTCCTTGTGTAATAGAGTAGAGAGTAGAGTAAAGCTATCCCTGTAACAGGCCATGAAGGCCCCCGTAGGGTTGTGAGATATTGAGGTTCCCACATTTTTTCTAGACAATCAGCATATAGATGGCGGCAAGGTTGTCAGCCCTACGTGCCGGCTGCCCTTTACCCCCAAGAATATTCCTGGTACTCATTTCTGATAGAGGCTGAGTCGATCCCAGGGCCATAGTGCGGCTGGGAGGATTAGGTCAATTGAAAAAATCCAGTGACCTCATTGGGACTTGAACCCACAACCTTCTGGCTTGTAGCATAGTGCCTCAACAAACTACGCTGCCTCGTGCCCCCTCCTTGTAATATGATTTAGTAAGTTGTCTTTATATTTTACCTCTTTTGAAAAAAGTGTTTTTCACTTGTCTTTTTGACAAATTTTATTTCTTACTTGTCACTTTGAAAATTTTATTATTGACCAGTCATGCTTTGTATATAGAAAGTATCTTCAAAGTTGACATCATTATCACCAACAAAATAAATTTTTAAGCCTTAATTATGGGTTCATTTTTCTCAGTCGTGATCCTTCTTGATGACACCATAACTGTCTCTTTATATTCTTATGATTTTACATTTTAGGGGTGTACATTTTGAAGTCCTCAAAATAAAACATGCCATTATTATCCAGTATTTGAAGAATACATTTGTGGCCGACCATTTGCCTTCCCTCCACTGCATGTAATGATGTGTTTCAGGGGTTCAGTGGCCCAAATGACCCACAACAGAAACATGCCTTCAGTTCAAACCAGCTGCAGCAACTGCGAGTGCAAATCATGGCATATCGGCTGCTGTCACGGAACCAACCACTGTCACAGCAAATTGCAATGGCAATACAGACAAAGAGGATTGACCCCCCACTCAGTCACCCCAGCCAATGCCCCACTCCACCCTATCAACAGCAGCAACAGCTTCAGCAACAACAGCAACAGCAGCAGCAACAACAGCAGCAACAACAGCAGCAACAACAACAACAACAGCAACAACAACAGCAGCAGCAGCAACGGACCAATCAGCAGCAGTCTGACTCAGGTATCCATCTTAAAATAAACACAGAGCCAAAGCGGCCTCCGTAGTCTAGAGGTAATGTTCCCACCTCATGACTCGTGGTACGCGGGTTCAAATACCCGGCGAAGGTCGTCGAATTTTTAAGGGCGGAAAAATTCAGGGAACAAGTCCTCTGGGAGGGACTTTAAGCTGTGTGTCCCATGTCATAACCTTACGGCACGTAAACGAACCTCATATCCCCAAAGGGGATCACTGAGTCAAATTCCAGGACATTTCCCCCCCAACCATAGTCTCTAAGGCCTCTGATAGATGGGGGAAGCATTATAGATACCGCTAAGCAAGTGGCCGAACTCGCTTGCTCGGCGGGACTGATGGTACGCACCATTTATCGGTAGGGTATAGAGACTGGTAGAATATCATAGAGGGAAGCACAATAGATCAAACTGGTCATGGTGCATGGGGAAACCCACCCTCTCTAAATAACTAACTAACACAGAGCCAAGATAGCACATATAAGCATTTATAAGTTGTAAGTTACGCAGCACGTCCACAAAGTAAGTTTCCCACACATCCCACAGCTAGCAAGCCTTATATTGCGCGAAGCGACTGCACGTACGTGATAGAGCAATGACGTAGCATGGCGCATGCACAAATGGAATTTCCAGCATTCCCACAGTAGCATCGTTGCAGCTGTTGAAGATGGAGGCTCGTTTTCCAGCTCCCGCCGACTGTGAAGTGTGGTCAGTGATAAAGTTTTTGAATGCACAGAGCATAGCGCCGATCAAAATTCATCGTCAGCTGTGCCAGATCTATGGGCCTAACGTCATGAGCAAGCAGATGGTGCGTCACTGGTGCAGACAGTTTTCAGCAGGTCGACAAAGTTTGCATGATGAGAAGCGCAGTGGGCGGCCATCCATCATTACAGACGACCGGGTGGAGCTTGTGCGGGAACGCATTATGGAGAATCGTCGTGTCACAATTGTGGAACTCATCAGCAATCATGTCCCGCACCTTGTTGCACGAGATTGTCACGGAGCACCTGTTGTTCAGGAAATTGTGCGCCAGGTGGGTGCCGAAGCAACTGACACCAGAACACAAAACAAAGAGTATGGAGTCAGCATTGACCTTTCTGCAGCGGTACCATGATGACGGCAATGAGTTTCTGGACCGGATCATCACAGGTGATGAAACGTGGATTGCACGCTTTACCCCAGAAACCAGGCAGCAGTCAATGCATTGGCATCACAGTGGATCTCCCTGTAAGACGAAATTCAAGCAGACGTTGTCGGTGCGGAAAGTGATGTGCACGGTATTCTGGGACAGACGGGGCGTTCTCCACGTCGAATTCCTGACCAGAGGTGAGACGGTGAATGCTGAGCGTTACTGTGAAACACTGCAGAAATTGTGACGGGCCATTCAGAACAAGCAGCGCAGGATGCTTAGTGCCGGTATTGTCTTCCTGCACGATAACGCTATGCCGCACACAGCTTGACGGACAGCAAGTCTCCTGCAGGAGTTCAGCTGGGAGGTGTTTAATCATCCACCCTACAGCCTGGACCTCGCTCCCAGTGATTTCCATCTTTTCCTACACCTCAAGAAATTCCTGTCCAGTGAGCGTCAGCATTTTGAGAATGACAGAGGGGCGGAGATGGTTGCCACACAGTGGTTCCAATCCCAGGCGGCAGACTTCTATGATACAGGTATTCAAAAGTTGGTCCAACGGTATGGCAGATGTCTCAGTTCTGGTGGCGATTATGTTGAAAAATAGCTGAACACTTGCTGTATCTGTTGCAATAAATATTTCCATGAAATTGTGTTATGTTTCTGTAAACGGCCCCAGGGAAACTTACTTTGTGGACGACCCTCGTATATGTGATGAGATGAAGTTAATTTTGATAATTTTAAGTTTGTTGTTAATAACACCACCAGGGTGTCAATGATAGGATGATTAATAAATGTAGAGAAATTTATGGAATTTGAATCTGAATGTTCAGCACCATTAATACCAAAGCCTACTACTAGACATGGTCCAGAGCCAGTTTTATCTACCTTCCATCCCCACAACCTGTCTTTCTAAAATTCATCTTGATATTGCCCTCATATCTCCTTCTCATTCTTCCAAGTACTCATTTTCTCAGAGATTTCTCCACTGAAATGTTGTATGCATGCCTTGTATTCTGCATGCCCAGCTCCTCATAGCCTCCCAGACTTCACTACTCAGAGAATACCGGGTGACCATAGTTCTTTCTTATCCAGTGTCCTAAATCTGACACTTCACCCTTCTTAGGTCTGAATATTTTCTGAGACTTTGTTTTCAAACTCTTGTAATTACTGTGCAAGATTGACTTTTCAGCTTATGTCATGCTTCTTGAAATTTGTCCCTTTTGGCAAATAGTGCAGTTTCCATCATCAGGGTGAATGTTGTACCATCCAAAATATTACAACAGGGTTCACTGATGAGGCCCAGAAGCTTGTGAGCCATGCAAACATTAGGACAAGAATTACCTGTAATTGTAATTATTATTTCTTCCAGAAAGTAAGAAATCATGTCCCACTTTCATAGAAAGTAATAGCAGAAGTTCCATTCTGTGTATCAAAATTGGATTATAGTATTAAATTAAATCTTATGGAAATAGATTATGAAGGCACAAACAGAATTGGATTGGCTTAAGATGTGGTTCAATGGTGATAATGGTGAACTTTTGTGCTTCATAAAACAAAAGCATTTGTTGAACATTTGAATAGCTCTTAACCATTAATACCAACTGACTCCACAGAGCAGTGTCCTTGAGAAGCCTCTCAGTCAAAATTGCTGGCCCTACATGGACATCCAGAGGTTAATTACCATATTCACAAGAACATACTACTATACCCTGGCCTGAGAACAATCCAGTTCGTAGTATTGCGCTCTGTTTAATATCCATTTTAATATTTTTTCATCAATGTCCAAGTCCTCAAATACCCTCAGTCTATATTGTTCCTGACATGGTAGATTTATTTGTTCTGAGGTCTTTCCCTTCTAATTTATATAATTAGAAAATTTATTCACATATAACATTTATAAATCACTTGCTGACTGACCCAGTGTTCTCTGCTTGAGGGTCAGAAGATTAGAAACTGCAATTAATCCATAGGTACTATTGACAGAATTGTATGTTTGTTGCTGACAGGGTCATCTACCCCACCTGGCATGATGCAGCACCCTATGCGGCCACCAGGCCCCCCAGGTGGGCAGCCCCCCACACAGTCTCCAATGACTGCTCAAATGGCCCCTCCCATGGGACCAGCTCCACCTCCACAACAACAGCAGCAACAACAGCAGCAGCAACATCAACAACAGCCACAACAACAACTACAACAGCCACCGCCCATGCCCCCTGCACCAGTATCACAGCCTTCACGACTCCCTCAGCAAACTTCTGCTCAGCCCACCATGCCTTCCCTACCACTAGCTCAGCAAGCACCACTGCCTCCGCCTCCTACAGTGATGCCACAAGCACCAGGTCCCATGCCACAAATGCCAACTCAGCAGCAGCCCATTGGCTCTGGTCCGGTGTCAGGTAGCATGGCCCCAATGATACCATCAAGTAGACAGTCGGCGCCACCGGTCCAACAGCCCTGTGCACCACAGGCCCACCAGAAGCAGAATAGAGTCACATCTGTATGTAAGCCACTTGGGTTGGACCCGCTTCTCATATTGCAGGAGAGGGAGAACAGGTAATGTGAGCACTCCAATCATGCTTAAATTCTTGTCATTTCTGTGTGATTAATAAAACCATGCTAAGTCTTCTCTGCATGAGCTGGAATAGCTCAGACAGTAAAGTTGCTGGCATTGGGCTGGATGATTGGGGTTCAATTCCTGGCAGGAGCAGTGGTTTGTTTCTCTTCATCGCCTTTTCCAGGCTGGTGCTGGGGCAGTGGAGCCTCCTTTCCAATGGGTCCAAGGTTTTTTTTTCAAAATGTAAAGTTGCTGGAGCATGAAGGTAGCCACTCACTTGCATTTAGTGTAACATAGAATATACTCAGGCTGTACCTTTAGGTCCCCAGTAAGCATTTATAAAATGATGCTTAGGCACAAAGGCACTTTAGTCTTATATTTAGTGTGTTGAAGTATTGGATGGAATTCAGTTGTTTGATTACCTTTTCAGAGCATATGTATAATCACCAGAGGTTGCTGTCCATATCTCTTGCTCCCAAAGAGCACAATTTAACAAATTTAACAAAGACTGAATGTGAAGAGTTCTCTCTTCTGGGATATAATGCCATGTAGTCCAGTGAAAGTCATCCAACGTTTCAGTTACTGCTTGCTGTCTGCTTCTTGCTGTTTTCTTGCTTGGCTTACTGTTCAACCCCGAAGATGGAGGCACATTAATTTGATTTCACTGAACTACTCATGGTTATATTCCAGAAGGGAGTCACTACTGTGAGAAGCTCATATCGAGGAAGACGAAGGTGTTCTATTTTTTTTGGAGAGAGACCCTCAAGAAAATTGTTAATTTTTTTGCTAGAGCCATAGGTTTGAGTCCAAGTCAGCTAGTTCCCCACTATTTCCTCTGTAAGAAAAGTATTGGGATCATGACAACAATGAGATCACTGCTAGGATATGAGGGAAGACCTGAAATTTCTTCTTGTTTGTGAGGTGAGGGTGCCGTTTAAATTTGGAGAGGAAGGGAATGATGCAAGGACAAATAAGAGAAGGAAGGGAAATTATTATTCCCCATCACATTTTACAGCTAATGTAAGTAACAACTACAAACAACAAGGACTGTTTCTGAAAGTCTAGTGCAGATTTTTCTGCACAGAAACAGTGGTGTTCATCTTATATTGATTAGCAGTGAAATATAATATAGCCATTATTTCTTCTTAAATTCAAAGTCCTTCAGTAGATCAGTTAATCAAGAAAGTTCCTGCCCTTTTTGTAACCTGAAGGTTCACTACTGTGTTCACAAGGTTCCTGGAATATAGTGGCTGTGGCAGCAGTTATAGTGCCATATAATGCAATGTCATCACTTTTGCCTCATTCTTTGCATTACAGAGTTGCAGCCCGTATTGCTGAGCGCATTGAACAGCTAAGTAACCTACCCACCACCATATCAGAAGATCTTCGTGTACAAGCTCAGATAGAACTCAGAGCTCTCAGAGTTCTGAATTTTCAGAGACAACTCAGAAGTGAGGTGAGTTCTTCTTGCCCAGTTTGGTTGAAGATCTGTATCTATTATAACTGCTTGATACCTGAATTAATTGTAAAAAAAAAAAAACCTCTCTGCTTCAGATTTTATCATGTACACGAAGGGATACATCCCTCGAAACAGCAATGAATGTGAAAGCATACAAACGCACCAAACGCCAAGGATTGCGTGAGGCAAGAGCAACTGAGAAATTGGAGAAACAGCAGAAACTGGAGGCAGAGAGAAAAAAGAGACAAAAACACCAGGTATGGATGTGGATACCTGTACCAAGCAACTGTCATCATAAGGGTATTCACAACATGCAGTGATTTTCAAGTCTCATATCATATTTAGATGTCTTAGAGACTGTACTTGCTGTTATGAGGCTCTTTGGGTATCTAAAATTGTATGTACATTTAAGTAAAGGAACAAATATAAAGTTCTACTAAAATCTGGAGTACACATTGTTTGCAACTTTATATTCCTACTTGTCTTAAAGATTATTTGTTATTGATGCAAGTCTTTTAATTGGGCAGTTAAAATTTATTTTGTTTTCACATAATTAAATGGTATATTATATTTATGCTTTGTGCCTTGTTTTAAAATTTCTGCCTGCCTGCCTGCCTGGCTTGTATGCCTTTGGGCTTCATTTGCAGTTTACTTTATATATACCAGTTTTTATGTATTTATATTTATCTCTGTGATAATATATGCTTCATCTTGTGTTTAATGGTGAAACCTGGTCACTTGTTTTAATTGGCTTTTAATTTTTGTGTTACAAATGTGATTACTTCCTATACTGATACACAGGCATATAAGACAGTGGTTTCTATTGACATCTTGTGGTACATTATATGTGAAATGCTATTTTTATATGTTATATAATTTTTTATTTGTTTGGCAATGTAGTGGTTAGGAAATATGTGTTTTAGATTACAACTTTAATTATGAATTTAGCTACTTTATACGTTGACACAGTGGCAAAATGTACATGGGCCTGATGGATTATTTATTTCATGTATTTTACAAGTACAATTAAATATATGGGTTTGGAGTTTATCTGTAAATATGTGTATTGTTTTTCTCTCAGGATCATGTTGGTACATCTTGTGATTATTTTTTATTTACATTTGCATGTTATGGTGAGGCCCAGTTATGTTTCTTGAAATTCATTAAAGTAATCAGTATAGAACTAACATTGTCCCAGTTTTTGGTAGTAAAAAAACTGCACATTAGTGAATATGTAACCTAAGACGTGGAAATTACTGCTGATTACTTTATGGGTGAGTGAATTAACAGATGGATATAGTTGTACTTCAGTAAAAGGAAGCATGTATCATTGCAGTTTCTTTGCAGGTTATATAAGAAAAAACATGTTCTTTCCTACACTCCTTTCTATCCTGTGTTTTCATACCCTTTTCTAGTACACTCTCTCTTCCCACATCCCATCTTTTAGTTTGAATCTCAGCAGATCAGATTTTCTGCCTGATGTCTTACAGTTTTCATCATTTTCACCGGGCAGATGCTAGGACAGTACTTTGAAATAGGCTGCAGTAATTTTCTTCTAATTCCTAATAACTTTTAACTTATTACCTGCCAGTTGACAGAACTGCTAAACAAGTTACAAGAAAGTAATGATAAGGTGTAATTTTCTAAATTTGCAGTTCTTAGCTGCATCTTATATTGTGATTATATTCTTTATATCAAATAGTGTGATTTTTAAATGGTACTTTTTCATGAGACATATTATAATTTTGTAGGAATTCTTGATATCAGTTCTGCAACATGGAAAGGATTTCAGAGAATATCATCGTAACAATCAAGCCAGAGTGGCACGCTTGAACAAGGCAGTCATGAATTACCATGCAAATGCAGAGCGTGAGCAGAAGAAAGAGCAGGAACGTATTGAAAAGGAGCGTATGCGTCGCCTCATGGCAGAGGACGAAGAAGGATATAGGTATATACAGGAAAGACATTGTTTAAAATATACATTCCAGTTTTATTTAATTTATACTTTACTCTGCGATTTCTACATGCTGTCATCGATTAGGAAATTTTTTGTTGTGGCGCCCAGATGTTGATCACTGCTATCATAAAAGGCAATAATTGAACAGTATCTTGTGCCAGTTCAGTCATTTTCCCATTTTTATAACAGTGAAATAAATAAGCATGACTAAACAGAATGTAATATCACACTGCAGTACCAAAGATACAAGCATTCTAAATATTCTTTAATAAAATCACATTAAAATATAATGAGAAGCCTGACACTGCATCTCATCAGCCATAAAAAGCATGCTCTCTCATAGCCAGCGAAGTGCTAAATGTAAATGTTCACCTGAATTTTGATTCTAGTGTTTCCATAGTCCCCAAATTCATTTAAAAAGAGTGTACCCAGTCTACAGCTGAGATTCTTTAAACCTCATACTTCTTGAATGCATTGAGCATCTTATGCTCTCTTATAACATGTATTTTTCCTGTGCAGTTGGCCATGTGTTCATGTTTATTCACAGTACAAAGCTAACTGAGCTGATGAACTAATCAGTGCAATGTTACAGGAAATTGATTGATCAGAAGAAGGACAAGCGTCTTGCATTTTTGCTGTCACAGACAGATGAATATATTGGCAATCTCACTGAAATGGTGAAGCAGCATAAGATAGAACAGAAACGCAAACAGCAGGAACTTAAACAGAAGAAGGTAAGAGAATTTCTTTATCAATTACATGAATGGTTCTCAGCCTGTCCTCTTACATGGTCTATTAAAATAGCAGTCAATTTTCTGAGGACTGGTACTCTTTCTATCCCAAATTTAGTATACAGAATAATAGTCTACAAACTCATTTATTATTAGGCTGTCTAAACAGTGTAATAGTTTATGCCTTTGTATGGATTAAAATTGAAGAAACATCATATCCCCCCCACGAAGTATTTGCAATTAAAATTTTTACAAAGGAACATGTGAAACAATAAGATATAACTTTCTTTCAAGAACTTGAGGTTTGTAACATGGCTCTTCCATCCAAATTCTGAGGGCTTCAGCACCCAACTCCAAAACTCTGTGGCCTCTTCCTAACCACTTGTCTAGTCGGCCTTTAAAAGCACAAAAGAAAAAGAAAGGGCAGAGTAGAAATAAATTTATTACTGTACATGATCAGTTTCATCTATAAAGAGGAATGAAAATGCTTCTAGTTGTAGAATAGTATTTTCTTCAGATGTGATAGGATTTGCAGACTTGTATAATGAAGTTGCTGACACAGTGGATTCATTACATCAGCATGCTGTGTGATTATAGTGACAGCCAGCCATCTGAAGACAGGAGTGAAGCCTGAATGTCACGAATGATTGCCTTCTTGTCAACTGTTATAAAGTTTTAATAATGTTTAATTTCAAGCATACTCATATCTTACCCCATAGACATATAAAGCCTGTCTCTGTTGCCCTCCAAGGAAATATGTACTTATGCAATGGCAAGGCAGATTGATAATGAAAGTATATCTGTTGAACCTCATAGCTGATGTGTATTAAATATGTTGACTTATGTAGTTGTGATGTCATTTAATTTGCAGTTGTAAATCACCATGAATGAGATCACAGCTGCGTTTTTGCCATTTCTTTCTACTTCACAATACATATCATGTGTTCCTTTCATCTCATTTTCATTAATACTCTCTGCAGTTGGATATAACATCATGAAATAACAAATTGTTGAATAGGATGATTGGTTTACAGAAAAAGAAAAAGAAGAAGAATGCTGAAGGTGAAGGCAATGGGGAAGGAGGCGAGGCTGATGAAGAAGGCTCTCAGTCTGCGGATACAGGAGTTACTGTTGTTGAGATTGCCACTGGTGAGTTGTGTATGGAAATGGTGATAACAAAGTGAAGATCTTAATATTGTGACATGTTGACCAACAAAGACAGCCATGGCTTGGCAATGACTCGATAAACAAGTTCCTGCAACAATGAACAAAGACGCAAAAATAGAGAAACTGTTGGAAATGGCGTTTTCCATTTAGTCCTACCTGAGGCTACAGAGTGAGTTGCCAACGGCAATTACAGTCAGTAGTGGTTGATGGCCAGTGATGCCACAAGATAGTTGAAAGTTGACAGTTGGAGTGATGAGTCAGTCATGAGGGAGTCACCAGCCAGTGAGGACAGGATCCGTTCAACACAGAATCTGATGAATCTGCATTGTTGGGAACCATAATCTAGCAATGGCTAGTGAAGACAAACTGAGAAGACATGAGTGTTGTAATGAGAAGTTCAGTGCACAAATTAGTTATAGCATTATAATTACTTGTAGTTTCTACTCGTAAGAGTTCAATAAATCCAATTACCAATCAAAACCACATGTCTAGTCACTGATATGTGACGTTATTGAACGTCCGTGGAAATGATTATCACTCAGGTAGTCAAAGTCACCACCTTTTATTGGACCGAAAGGTTCATTATTGTATTCACAAAATTTGTGTAACTGCCAATGCATTGTACATTGTATTTGGTGGGGAGAGTGGATATCTCATCTCCTGTGACAGTATTTAGGCTTTCACCAGCCTTGTCTAGCAAAGAAACTATAGTAATATGTAATCACTTTGAAAGGTTTGATCACTATTTATTTGTCTTGAAGGCAAGCAGTTGACCGGAGAGGAAGCACCACTGACCAGTCAGTTGCAGGCTTGGCTTGATGCACATCCTGGTTGGGAGGTACTGGAGGAGGAAGAGGATGATGAAGATGAAGACGATGATGATGAAGATGGCTCAGAAGAAGACTCAGAGGAGGACGATCAGGACTGTTTGTCCAGTGAGTAAGCAGACTGATTTCATACAGCAGAGATTTCCCAACTTCTGTAATCTCCCAGGGAAAGATAATGGAAGTCATAATTTGCTGAATATCACATCCCATGTCTGTAAATACTTGAATAAGGAATTGTGGGTAGAACTTATAAATCCTCAAATCTTACTTATAAATCCTGCCTTACTACTGAAGACATCACCGGTCCTACAAAACTTGTGATGTTGATTGTCTTATTCAAATAATACGTATATAAAACACAGCAATAATATTTGTTATTCTTATTATTTGGGAATATTATGTTATAAAAGTGAATATATTTTGAAGGTACATAAATTGAGGACCTTGGATTAAATGGCACTAGTGTCACTCCCACCTCGTAAGTTCATATATCTGCCATGTTACTATTATCAACTGTAGGAAATGAAAGGCGTATGAAGTTGAGGTAGCCCTTCGTGGCATAATATCTCTAACACACTTTGTTAAAATTGGTCATATGGTTCAAAATCTGGAATGGCATGGAGATGAAAACAACATGGCAATTTCATAAGCTTTTTCCTTTCCTGAAGAAATGAAAGTATGTTAAAAGAATCAGGCTTTACATATATGTACAGTAGTGACTCTGTTAAATTAAACTTGACTTGCCCACTTTTGTCTCATAATTTTGTTGCATTATGTAATTTATTTACCTGCCTCATTTCCATGTCTTTCATGTATGTCTTGCATTTCTGAGATATTTTAAATTAAATCACAAAAGGGCTGCTTTGCCACTTTGCTGTAACAATATTTCTCTGTTTCATTCGATATTCAGCTTTTTACTTGCAATGCAATTCCCTGTTTCTTCTCCATCTTCTACAACTTAAAATTTCTCACAGTTAATGAAAAATATACTTGTTTCAAATGACTCATTGTAATCTGTTAGTTAAATGCTGTTACTTACACTGGTCCCTTATTATATTTCCCGTGACCAGTGATGTAAGTACTCCAGATTTTGTGCATGGCATAACATTCAATAGTGTCTGTGCTGTTATCATTTCAGCTGTTAAAAAAGTAGATATCAATTGAATGCATAAGGTTTATAAATACAGTGGATTTTTATTGGATGGTTGCTTATGCTGGTTGTCAAGAATAGAGATTGCTATATAACAAACTCTGATGTCCACACACGTAATACCAGATTTAATCATGACTTGCATCTTCCGGTGGTAAACTTAACGATATTTCAGAAAGGTGGATGGTATTCTGGTATCAAACTTTATAACCACCTCCCTCCAGAGCTTAAACAATTATCTTATGACATTCCTGGATTTAAAGTGGCGTTAAAGAAGTTTCTTATCACCAGTTCTTTTTATACTGTTGAAGAATACTACTGCTGGAATAAAGATTGATCCCTCATGTATATTTAATAAACACTGCTGCCTATTGCTAGGATGCAACGGAATATGGAATAAAATACTCAGGAAAAAGGTGCTATCACTGCTGTAATATAGGTGTATCATATATTAAGAAAATAGATTTTATATTACTATATTAAGAGGCTTGGCGGTCTTTTAATCATGTATGTAATTTTAAATGTTATTTTGATATATGAAATGTATTGTTGTACAGTAGTTTTGTTGTGTTGTATTTTAAATTTTGATGATGATGACTATCTGATTATGCATGTATATTTATGTGTTATATTGCGCTGCTGACTTCTTCTATATTTGAAGCAGACCCCTTTGTGGATTTTTTAACTGTAATGAATGAATGAATGAATGTATGAATAAAATGTATATTTAAATGAACACTGTTGCCTATTGCTAGAATGCAATGGACTGTGGAATAAATACTCAGGAAAAAGGTGCTATTACTGTTATGATACAGGTGTATTATATATTAAGAAAATAGATTTTATATTACTATATTAAGGATCTTGGTGGTCTTTGATCGTATATGTAATTTTATATGTTATTTTGATATATGGAATGTATTGCTGTACAGTAGTTTTGTTGTATTGAATATTTAAATTTTGACGATGATGACTATCTGATTATGTATGTATATTTATATGCTATATTGTATTATTGACTTGTTCTATATCTGAGGCAGATGCCTGTATGGATTTTTTTGGAACTATAAATAAATGAATGAATGAAAAGTTCTTCACCTATCTATGCATGTTTCACTGCTGAAACTAGTTAGCTGATTTTGATGGTGTTTCATGTTGGGTGGCTGCACCAGATTTATCCATGATATTTTATTCTGGCAAGTATCATTCTAATATAGCCTCTACTTTTCACCAAGCTCAAATCTAACTTCTTAAAGTTTCTCAGTAACGTTTCATCATAAATAAATGGTGCAGGGCATAGATCTCATTATTCTGTCACACTTATTGTTCGATATGATCAGTATTTTATATAATGTTTGCAGTATACATAAGAAACTTGTCATACAAATGAAGTGTGAAGTAACCAACATGTGACAACTTTTATAGTTAATCTTGTAAGTTAAAAATAAATATTTGGTTTTCAGCTCTCAAACCAAATACATCAAATAGTTCAAGTGCATCAGATGAGGACAAGGCAAGAGAGATGATAAAGAAGGCAAAGGTTGAAGATGATGAGTACAAAACATCCACAGAGGAGCAGACATATTACAGGTGCGATAAGTTACAGGTTACTTGTTGGTATCAGTCAGAAGGAGGAACGCAGAGCCACAACAGACAGAATAACATCAAACATTTCATTCTCATTACTTCACAACATGAGTTAGGCAGTAGTAACAGATTGTAGACTACAAGTGGAATAGTAATTATAGTTCTGTTATAGTAGACATAGTAAATGTACTCACAGCTCTTGAGGCAAAGAAGTCTCACAGTAACTAACTGTCAGTCCTCCGTCTGATAATTCTTCTTCAAATTGCAGCTGCTGAATTTGTACAGCTTCATGATTGTCACAAAAATCTGTTCATCATATCTGTATAAAGATATTTCTCTTATGTGTAGTACTGTAGCACACGTAGTAAAGACAAGCAGCGGCACGCACACAGGAAGACTACACAGAATAACATCTGTACAGTGTGGAAACAAGAACTAGCCGCTGCAGCTCTTTAGACATAGGGCGAGTAACCCTAACAATTTTAAATTTAAAATTTAGAGAAAATTTTAAAGGATTTTAAAATTATAACTAAAGATTTTATAGTGCTACTACAGGAAAATCAAAATTGACATGTGCAAAATAATCTACATACCAGACAGATATCAACGAGGTAGATGTTGATAATAACAAAGAAAATAACAATGTGTTTTTTAAATGTTAAATTTTAGACTGGGTTCAGTGTGGCAGCAACGTAAGAGTATACACCTGATGATGGCCGTTAGAGGCCAAAACATGTAGTGTAGAAGAGAACAAGATCAAAGACATATAATATATATTGTTTGCACTTGGGACGGAGTTTGAATCATTTATCGTGTAGAGTGCAACAGGATGCTTAAATATAATAATAGTGTAGTACTGCTTTGCTCCATAAAACATCACTGGGATTAAATTTATATAAAATTGATTTATGATACATTTATACTTCAGCCATTATCATGAACTACTATTTTATGTAGGATGTGAGGTTCTTACAGTGGTGATTATGAAGAGTACTCTCGTCTGGGGTGTCATGCTATGTAGTCCACTGAAATTCAGTGTTTTAGAGGAATATGTTGGCTTCATCTTCAGGGTTGAAGAATAAGCCAAGCAAGTGACAATGGCTCTGCTTGCCATCTGCTTTCATGCTGGTATCTTGCTCGGTTTATTCTTTGACCCTGAAAATAGAGGAGATATGTTCCTCTGAAACAGGGGTTGACTTTCAGTGGACTTCGCAGCAATTGTACCCCAGATGATAGTATGGTAAAAGGAAATTTTTAAGTGTGAAATAATGTTATTATTTTCTTGCAGTATTGCACATACAATTCATGAGATAGTGACAGAGCAAGCCACCATCTTAGTGAACGGAAAGCTGAAGGAGTACCAAATAAAGGTAGAAAGAGCTGTATTCTCTTCTGTTATGACTAATAAAGTAACCACTGCATTGTAGACAAGACTAACTCCATAGAGCAGAGTCCTTTTTTAGATGCTGATAAATACTTATCTGGTCTATAAATTCTCACATCTTTACGCGTAAGGGAAGCCAGAAGTTTATTACTGTGTTCAAAAGCTCACCACTGGGCCCTATCATGAGACAGAGAAATCCAACCTGCACCCTCAAACCCTGTTTCTGTAGGATCTATCTCAGTATTTCCATGTGTATTTAGTCTTGCAAGTAGTTCTCCCGTCAAATTTTTTATTTTAATTTCTCATCTGTTCTGTGTTTTCTGCACCCACACAATCTCAGTCTAGGGAGTACCGAAGCAACAGTTTCAAACCTTATGCCAGGCAGGGGGTTGCTTTGAATTTTTATCATTCTGCTTGTTGCCATAATTTTTCCTGGTCTGTGGTTCTTGCCAGAGTAAACAAATGAGACACACAATTTTGCAGTGTGACTTCCAGAATTTGTGTGAATCTGGAAATCCACAAAAGAAATGCTGTGCACAGATATACACATATAAGGATATTTGCCTGTAGAGATGTGTAGATTAATAATACCGTAATCTGTGATGTTACAATTGTATTGAGAGTGTTATAGTTCTCCTAGTTTTGAATATTTTTCCTGGGTCTATCATTACTGCTTACTTTGTTATCTGTTATTGGTTCAACTTTTAAATAACGTTAGGGTAAGCGTTTGCATTACTTCAAGAGAGGGTGAAAGTGGGATAAGATACTTGCACTTGATATATTCTGTACTCTGAATTTATAGTAATGATATTAATGAATACTACTGCCACAGCCTGTAAAAGAATATTAATAAATGATTGGAAACTGTATGGAAGGAAATGCACATTGCCTATTTTAAGGCGCTGTCTCAGATTTCAGCTGGATGGAGCAAGGAAAGCCATGAAAACATCAGTCAGGATAACAGATGTATGGACAAGGATTCAGACTAAACTTCGTGAATGTGAAACAGGAATATAAAAGTCAAGTCAACGTGAAGTTTCTTTGTATTGTATTACACTGTACTGTCTTCTCACAAATTATTTGCAGGGCCTAGAATGGCTTGTTTCACTGTTCAACAACAACCTAAATGGAATTCTAGCAGATGAGATGGGTCTTGGCAAAACGATCCAGACAATTGCTCTCATCACATATCTGATGGAGAAAAAGAAAGTGAATGGACCATTCCTCATCATTGTTCCTCTCTCGTATGTACTTCTTTACAATGAAAGAAAAGCATGTAATTTCTGTAGCCTGCCTGATACCAACATTAGACTGTTTCTTATATGGCAACAGTGTTGCAACATATTTTGGCCTAATCCAGGCCACCTAGATGCAATACAGACTACAGGTTCAGCACATGGCCAGTACATAATTATATTTTGAAACATGCCTCTGTATTACTGCCAGCCTTACTTTTTCTTTTACTTGAAGAAATGAGAACTTGTAGTTTAAGTGTACAGTTTGTTGCAGACATTATCCTTTCTTTTCATACTGAAGCTTATGAGTGCTTATAGCTTTAGCCCTTTTACTGACAATCCAGTTTACATTTCTGGTCAAAATCAAACATACAAATCAACAAATAATTGAGAGTGGAAGTGGAGTCCAGAATACTGCTATTTATGTACAGACAAGGTAGATAAAAAGGACAGTTGTAATTGTCTAGTTTTATGGAACTGGTGCATTTGGCTAATCATAACTCTAATAATCAAGGTGACTGAATATCTTAGCCATACAAACATATATAATCAACAACTGTTTTATTAATCAGGTAAATTAATGTAATAATAAATTTAGTCATTTATAACTCCAGTAGCCAAGTGAAAGTTATGTAAACTAAATACTATTTAAATGACACATTTTACTGAGTATGCCTATGTATTAGTTTTGCTGTTATCAATACTTTCCTTTGGAAGTAATGACTGCAGTCTGAATTCTCTCTTGTGACATTATGAAGGATCAGCTCTTGCACAACATAATTTTCATGAAATCGGAGAAGAATTATATGTTATAGGTTTCCAGTCAGCTAGAAGTCTGTCTCAAAGTGAAAGCGATCTGAAGTAAATAAGAATTCTGCTATACAAAGATTCTGATTTGTGAGAGTTTTAAAGACTTGGAGCTTTAGACATTCCTAATTTATAAGAAAGTTTTTTCAGCACTCTCTCGAACTGGGTTCTGGAGTTCGATAAGTGGGCACCTTCTGTGGTGGTCGTGGCATACAAAGGCTCACCTGCCATGCGACGGCAGATACAGAGTCAGATGCGGTCCACAAAATTCAATGTTCTCCTCACAACCTATGAATATGTGATCAAGGACAAAGGAATGCTTGCCAAGGTAAGTACAGTCAGTTGCATTTATTTTAACAGAATGTAAATATGACCTTCTGTTCATTTGCTTAACATGATGTAAAGTAGCTTGACAGAATAAGTTGACAGCTAGCAATTTACTATGGTAAAAAAGATTTAAATGAAGACACGTGGATTATAGTAACACCACAGTAACCTTTAGTCGTGCCGCTTAGTATGCTTAGACTATCAGACCAGTTACTCTTCTTTTTTCATGGTTTTCTTTCCTTCTTTATCTTTACATTTCTTCTTCCTTTCTTATACACCATGTTTTATTACACTAAGTACAGTAAGGGACTTCTAATTTTATTATGTTTTGCTGTATTAGATGTGGCAGTAGGTTAAAAGTAAGAACTTGTGTGTTTGATTCTCCATGGAAGAAATGATCTTCACAGCAATTAATTAGTTTAGGTTACTGTGAGGTGTAATTTATGACATCTGTTAACTAAGCCTGCCATTTCTGTTTAAACCGAAGCAGCAGTCTCTAGCCCTGTAACTGTGTTACACACCCACCTGTGTGCTGTTATGCAGACAAAGTATTCTGTTCAAAATGCATGAAACCTACTTTTCTTTTGCATAAAATTCTACTCCTACAAATCTGTTACAGGTGTTGTTTTACTTTTAAGAAGAACTTATTGCTCAAGTACTTGATCTACATTAAATTTGGCAGATGTAACCTGAAAGTTTTGCACTGTCACGTATGTGTTGTGTTAATGTTTGTGATCTATCTCCATGCCAAATTTCACATGCCTAGCCCCACTCGTGGTAGTCATGTTGTTAGATATTTTACATTCTGTAAAATAATTACCTCAAAGAAAGCTTCATAGTTCTTGAAAATCTGTTATCGTATATGATTCAGGACTGTAAATGAAGTGATGTTAGGGTCATTCCAGCTTGACAAGTTTGTGCATCTACCATGTACACAATAGCGTAGTGATTGAGGCACTGTGCTACAAGCCGGAAGGTCACGGGTTCAAGTCACGTTGAGGTCATTGGATTTTTTCAGTTGATCCAATCATTCCAGCCGCACTATGGCCCTGGGGTTGACTCAACCTCTAACAGAAATGAATACTGGGAATTAATTGAAGAATTTTCCTGGGGAGTCAAGCACGGCCAGTGTGTAAGGCTGACAACCTTATCGCCATATTTGATCCGATTGTCTAGATAATGTGGGACCCTCAACGTCTCACAACCCTATGGGCCTTCACGGCCTGTTACAGGGATAGCTTTACTTTTTACTTTACTTACCATGTTGATATTGTGTTTGTAAGAAATTAAGAAGTATTACTTTGGGGTAGCATAATTGTCATGGCAAATTTTGTGAAAATCTGTCATTGAGTTAACAGGTTGATGTGAGAGGCATATGAGCTGGCAGGTAAACACACACATACATGTGCACAAATAAACACTCATCTCTAGGTTAATATGCTTTAAATTAGAATGAGAAATGCCCAATCAGACCTCAATTTCTGTGTGTATTGTTTTCACTGAAAATAAGATGATTTTGGAAGTTGTATAATAATATCTGAAACTGCATATTTTATGTTTAATTGTGGATTTATTTTACACCAGAACAAGTATCTCAATGGAACAGTGTCTTTATCATGGAAATAACAGTTCCTTGGATTGTCAAGAAAACCCCACCTTTTATGGAACCCAAAAGTTCATTACCATGCTCACAACAGTCTGCCGCTGTACTCTATCTCAAGTCACATAAATCTAGTTCATATCCTCAAACCTTATTTCCTGAAGATCTACTTTAATGTAAAATTCCTGTCTACATGTAGGTCTCCGTGTGGTCTCATCTGTTCTAATTTTTTAACCATAATTTTATTTCATGACTCTTCCATGTGTGCTATGTACCCTGAGAAGCCCAGTCACCTTAATTTTATAATTCTAGTACTATCTGGTGAAGGTAGAAAATTTTGAAACACCTCATTATGCAGTTTTTACTTTCTCATTATAAGTTCTAGGGATTGTCCTCAGCATCGTGGTCTTCCTGAAGGATGAGACAGATTTCACACACATACAGAGCAATTGATAAAATTATTCCTTTGCAGTTCTTACATTTTCATTTATAGACGAAACATCCTAAACTGAATAGTAACAGCCATTCCATTACTTTAATCTGCTCGTAGTATATGCATAAATATAGTTTTGATTTATTAGTCACTTTCAAGCAAGAGTAGAACTGAAGAAGTTGCAGAAATTGAAAAATGATATAAAGCATCACCCAGATTTGCATCAGTAGTTATGAACAAGATGTTTTGTGAAGAGGTGGTGCACACTAACAAATGCAAGTAACATATCTTACTGAAACTCATCAGGTTTTTCTCAGTTAATGAATAATCAGTAGGGAGTAAGATGATATTGGTTTTATTGCAAATGAAACTCATTATTTTGCTGCGGGCTCTTGATTCTACAGATTCCAATAACTGGGTAGTGGAACAGATCAACAGGTCAGTGATTATTGTAATGCTTGAACTGTAAGTTAAACACTGTTTGAAAGCTCTAAAGTACTTAATGTGAATGTATGATTGTTTCAGCTGCACTGGAAGTATATGATAATTGATGAGGGCCACCGAATGAAGAACCACCACTGTAAGCTCACTCAAGTCCTCAATACACATTACCTGGCCACACACAGGCTCTTGTTGACTGGAACTCCACTTCAGAATAAGCTGCCTGAGCTCTGGGCACTTCTGAATTTTCTACTTCCATCTATTTTTAAATCCTGCAGCACGTTTGAGCAGTGGTTCAATGCTCCATTTGCAACAACTGGAGAAAAGGTATCCAGCAAGGAACCTTTTTGCTACATTAATCACCCTGTGGATCTTACTTGCAATTTTTCTGTTTAGCTCACATTTCTTTGTTTCCAATTCAAGTTTATGGATTACTTTCTTCTTGATTATAAATTATTGTACTTCTCAGGTTGAACTGAATGAAGAGGAGACTATTTTGATTATCCGTCGTCTTCATAAAGTATTGAGACCATTTCTTTTGCGGCGATTGAAGAAGGAGGTGGAGTCTCAGTTGCCTGATAAGGTTGAGTACATTGTAAAGTGTGACATGTCAGGCCTTCAGAGGGTGCTGTATAGGTGAGTAATAGAAAATGAAATTAATGGGCATGTAAATATCTAAGAATTAATACTTTTGTAAGAGACCCTAAAGATTCAAAACTTCCAGTATCAAATAATAGTGTACTTCAGCATCCTGCTATGTTACTATTAATCTTCAGTGGATGACTGTTTTCACCATCCAAATGCAACGTTTTCTTCTCACCGTCTATGCCCTGTACACTCTTCTGCAACGTGTTTCAGCCTCACACGGCCATCTTCAGGCATAGTTACGTGTGGAACGTGTCGTTGCTTTCAGTAAATGTCCTCTAAAATCCATGAAAGGCTGGTATCTGCTAATTGCCAACTGTATATGATATCTGTACTGTGTAATCATTGTATTGTGTTAATATTTTTGGCAGGATTATATATAAAGTGTTAATGTTCTGTTGTGTTATATGTCTTACATATTAATGTTCTTTTGGTGATATGTTGGTGTCGCTTTTTGTTGAATTACTCTGGCAGTGTGTGTAGTGATTGTGAATGTTTTCTGTTGCTATTTCTACATATTTTTAGGGAAAGGAGTGGAGGTGTGCTGCTATCTGGTGCAGAGTTTGTATAGTGTTTCAAATATGGGGTTAAATATATCAGTGTGTGTATCGTTCATATGTAGGTTGTTTTTGCTAATTTTATGGATGTGGTATTCTTTTAATATGTTTAAATGTTTTCCTCTTTTCCCTTGTTTTATTATGCCCATGGTGTGAGTAATGGTTCCTTATATGTGTCCTGTGTTTGGTATATGGTTAGAATATCCAGAATTACCACTTATTTCTAATGGCTTGTATATGTTCATATCTGGTTTCAGTGTCCTTCCTGTTTGACCTCTATTTTTTAGTGGGCAATAAGGGCGTTTCGTTGGGTTGATGCCTCTTCTGTTGTATTTATCTGTTTATGAATGGGGTTTTAATATGTTCTGTATTATGTTTTATGTGCAAAATGCTATTGTTATTTATTTAGGTGCTACAAACATCCAACCTATACAGTGTCTCATATTAAAGAAAGTGCATTGCATCCATGCCATAGCTCAAGCGGTTAGTCGCTAGCTTCCCACCGTGGCGCCCCAGGTTCGATCCCAGGTCTGGTCAAGTCGGATTTGTCGTGGACAAAGTGGCACTGGAGCAGGTTTTCTGCGAGTACTTCAGTTTCCTCTGTCAATCTTCATTCCACCAATAACTACACAATCACCCTCACCTATCATCTGGGGCTGGTACAATAGGCCAGAAGTGGCCACAGTGCAAGGGACTTAGTCCCACCCCACTAGCAATAAAGAAAAAAAAAAGTGCATTGCATTGTAAACTAGAACCATCCAAGTATTGCATGAACAGAGCTAAAGTAAGACACTATAATAAGATTAAATAACTTTTACCTAATTAATAGAATTACTTATGTGTTTTGGTATTATTGACATAATCCTTCAGTGGACCCATTTGTAGAAAGTAGGATTATAGTTTTAAATGGTGGTTATACTGAAGTAGCCTTAATATTGATATGTGAGAAATCAGTTTTAGGTAATAGTGTTTGTGTCAAACATAAACAACAGCCTGAAAATAACTTAATGGTGTTGAAACATGTGATGACTTATTTAAGAATAATAATTTCATATTTGCTCAAATTGTTGTGTAAATAGAAACCAAAATGCATTATTAAAAAATAATATAAACTCCGCCNGCATTATTAAGGTGAAATAATTTTGTGGTAAAGTGTTCAAAATTTGTCATGAAATTGGGACTGTGTTTCAAAGTTCACTTTAACAATTCTCATAATTTTCACAAAATTGGTTAGATTTAGATTAACTGTTTATACCCTTAATGTATATTTATCGCTTAAGTTGCTATCATACGTTGAAATGAATTAAACTAAAATTCTTAGTTTATAAGATGAGTATCTACGCTTTTGTTTTCAGACATATGCAGAGTAAGGGTGTGTTGTTGACAGATGGTTCAGAGAAAGGGAAACAAGGCAAGGGTGGAGCTAAAGCATTGATGAATACCATTGTCCAATTGCGAAAACTTTGCAATCATCCCTTCATGTTCCAGAATATTGAGGAAAAGTACTGTGACCATGTGGGGTCCCAAACAGGAGTAGTATCAGGGTGAGTTTATTTCTTTATACAATTTAAGTGTGAGGAACTTAGACAAGCAAATACATGAAAGGAAGAAAACATGGCTGAACACCTACAGAGGATGCCATCAGAAAGACTTCCCAAGCAACTTCTTGTATTATGAACTGATAGGATCCAGAAAGGCCAAGAAGAAGATAGCTTGATATTTGAGGATGGAACTAGCTAACAAGCTCAACCCTTGCAGATAATAATGATGTACAGATTTTGTTGACTCTACTTTACTACATTCAACCACATAATGCACGGTGATGTCCTGGATATATAAGAACACACTGCATCAGGGACTTGTATATGCGTGTCCAATTTCCTTTCCCTGTATGAAGCAAATATGGTGTGCAAGAATGTTTGGCCTTACATATTTTGATCAGTTAGTTGACAAATGTCATACTGATAGTATATTTATCTGAATTCAGTGTCAGATGCCTTTTTCCACTTTGAATTTTGAAAATCCATGGGTCTTGTTAATATTAATTATCTAATTATAGACCTATTTCACTATTACCTGTTTTTTTCTAAAATCTTTGAAACATTAATATATAACAGATTAGTGAATTTCTTAAAAAACATAATTTGATAGCTGATGCCCAAAATGGC